TATAGCCTGTGGTAATTTCAGTCGGAAGATTGCCACTTCCGCTGAGAGGCTTCCGTTCAATGATTCTGACAGCTAGGATTAGTTATTGGTTCTATCAAAACACGCAACATCTGCTTGAGCACCGGTCGCAGAGTCGGCACTTGAGTGCAATGGCTTCCACCCACAGAGTTTCAGAATTCTAAAACTCTGGCGCTTCATTGACGAGAGTGCAACCATGTTCAGTTCAACCATCAGCGACTAGTTCCTGTTCTTTCCGTCTGAGTGTGGATATGTTCCAACTTCCGACTGTGAGTTTTCAGTGATAATAGAGTTCTCCTACTTCCTCCATTTAGAAAGGGTAGCGGTTAAGTTGCTGATTGGTATCTTAGTCGTCTTCGGCAGCCGTTCTCTTGCTGGTAGGTTTTTATTGCTGACTTTTCGCGGTTTGCCTCACGAGAACAACGAAACAGTCTGCACGACCCTTGGTAGCCCGGCCGACCACCAAGTCGGAATAATTTTCGATTACGTCAATACTATGAAGATCAGGTGGCTAAGTTTTACGGGAGACCTCGTCACCGTTCCCAGTCCTCTTCCAATCACATCCGGGTTTGAGATTGGCAACGGCGGAGTCATTAGTCAGTAACTCGTATGCTCTACGTTAAGTCGTAAATTAAGCAGCATAAAACACTTGTCTCAAAGTTAAGCTCATTTCCTCAACGAACTACTGCTCAACATCAACATATGCACGTTTCAGCACCACAGTAATTGTTGGATGACTCACTCATTTGCCCTTTTTGTGGCAGAAGCTTATTGAATTCAATATATTATTTTTCTACATAGTTGAGTTCGTTCCTTACGGTCGTTAAAAGCAGTTTCATCTGTTGAATTGGTGTAATACTGCTTGATTTAAAATTTCGTTCGACGGTATGAATCAACGAGGGTCTCGTCGAGAATTAAATAGTTTTCATTAGTTTACATATCGTGTGAGAAGGATATGCAAATTTCCTTAAGATTACTGAAAAATATATTTCTATGTCAAATATTGGCAATAGCCCAGAAGCCTGCACAACTGCGGAAACAACGAAAACCGTGCAACGCGCAATTAATAAAGTTTACTTACCCTGCGTGAAGCACCATGTACAGTATGAATCTCCAGATTTGAAGCCGTTTGTCTGGACGGTAGATAAATATTGAGTCGACAGGAACCGGTCCGTTGGGGCCGATGTCACCGACAGGAAGTGAATAGTACAGGAAGAATGCTAGCTAAAGAAAACGCATAAGAGATTTGTGTGTGTGATGATGTTCTGCAGACAGACAATGGCTTACTTCGATAATGGTAACTAATGGCATAAATACGGGAGGTGGACAACAGACGCACTGCTCGCCATGGTACTTCTCTGTTTGGCTGATAGGAATGCATTCTTCAGCAACAGTGAAGTTTTTACACGCTTTTGTCGAACAGTGAGGACAGCTGAGACTACTGGCAGTGCAATATAGAGTTTCACAACCTCCATCCAAGGCTGCCTTGAAACTGTGTCGCCTTTTGTTCGATATCTTAAATAACAACATCATAAATAATAATACATCCTGTATATTTTAGCCAACGTTTCTGAGAATGCATAATTTTTTAAGTTTCGTAAGCTTGAACCGATTTTTTTTCTCAGTTATTTTTAATAGGTGCTTCACAGAATCTTCAATTAACCCTACCAATTTATGCAGACGTAATTGGTAAACCGTGAGAGAAGAACTGATACTGCGCATTGATGGGGTAGTAATTTGTCTTACTTACGTTAAGTACTACCCATTCGTATGTAAATGGATAGCATTTGGTCGATTGAATAACGATGTCACTAAATCGGTTGTTTGCATGTGGGCAAGGCGATAAAAGAAATTGTGCGTTCTCAAGCTCAGAAACCCAATCTCGACGTCACTGCTGTGGAAAGTGCGCAACGGTCAGATCACATGGGAGGCTGAATTGAGGTAGGTTCTATGGTCCTGAGCTGGTGCCGAAGCTGCTTGTCCTCAGTCTCGGTTAAGGAGGCAATGGTGATCGAGCTGACAGAACTAGTTATGTTTGTGAGATAGTATTTTCTAAAAAGAGGACAGTTTGTACACAGGGTTGGGTGGAGACTTGGAGGCTACCTTTTGTATCACCATTTCCGTTGAAAGCCTCAGTTGCCTT